CAGAAACACTAAATCTGCTGGAAGACAGAACAGGTAGAACCCTTGAAGACATTGGTGTAGGCAAAGACTTATTAACAACTCCAACTGCACAGGAATTATCACAAAAAAATCAACATCTGGGATCTTGGGGCTGGGGATTTAACTCAGTGGCACAGTGCCTGCCTGGCAGGTGTGAGGTCGTGAGTTCGATTCCTGGTACTGGAAAAAAAAACAAACAAAAAGAACCATCTGGGATCTCATCCTATTAAAAAAGCTTCTGCACAGCAAGAGAAACCACCAACAGAGTGAAGAGACAACCCACAGTGTGGGGATAAAATTTTTGCCAGTTGTTTTTCAGACAAAGGAATAATATATAGACTATATAGAGAGTTAAAAAAAAATCAGATTGCCCAAATTTAAAGACCAAATCCAAAAATAGGCATCCACGATGAATACACACTTTTCAGATAAAGAAGTACAGACAGCAAATAAATATATGAAAAAATGTTCAACATCTCTGGTCATTCAAGAGATGCAAATTAAAACAATACTGAGGAGCTGGGGATATAGCTCAGTGGCACAAGCACCTACCTGGCAAGCACGAGGTTGTGAGTTCGATTCCCAGTACCAAAAAAAAACAAAAAACAACAACAAAAAACACTGAGATTCCATCTTGTTCCAGAAAGAATAGCTATTAGCAAGAAATTGACCAATAACAAATGCTGGCAGGGCTGTGGGGAAAAAGGAACTCTTCTCCACTGCTGGGAGGAATGTGGACTGGTGCAACCACTGTGGAAATCATTGCAGAGATTCCTCAAAAAACTAAAACTAGAGGTTCCACTTGACCCAGCTATTCCCCTTCTTGGTATCTTCCTAAAAAAATTAAAAGCATTATACCACAGTGATAAATAAATACCCATGCTTATAGAGGCACAGTTTGTAATAGACAAATATTGGCAACAGCCCAAATGCCCATCAACCAATGAATGAATGAAGAAGATGTGGGGGTTTTTAATCCATGGAGTACTATTCTGCCATAACGAATAATAAGCACGAGACATTTCTAGCTAAATGGATGCACTTTGAGACCATACTTAAGTGAAATAAATCAGATACATGTGTAAATATCACATTGTCTCTCTGGTGTGAGAAACTGAAAGTGTAAATATAGACCAAAATGTGTAATAGATATTGGGAAATGGGCAGAAAATATTCATATGAGAAGAGCAAGGGAAGGGGTAGGGGGAAGGGAAGGAAGGGAAAAGGGAAGGAAGGGAAAGAAATAAGCCTAGGCATGGTGGTGCACATCTGTAGTCCCAACACTCAGGAGGCTGAGGCAGGAGGATCACTGAAAATTCAAGCCCAGCCTGGGCTACATAGTGAGACCCTGTCTTAAGAAACCCAAAAAAAGGGGAGAAAATGAAAAAAACTTTTGTTACAAGCAAGGCAAGAAGGGTTGAAGGGAGGAGAAGGGATTGGGGGAAAAAGAATCAATATATGTTATGTAGAGGCAACTCATTTCGGACCCCTCCTGTCTCTCAGGACCTATTCCTGTTCCCCATCCCTTTTCCCAATAAATTTTTCTACTCCTTTAAAAAAAAAAAAGATATATTATGTACAGGTACAAATTCCCTATGATGAATGTGATCATTACACATATCAAAAGTGTACCGATAAAATTAATTTTAAAGGCTAGTGTGGCTTTCTTCATGATAGCCTGCCCTGCTTTCTCCAGGGTGTTCTTTTATCTTGCTTTTTCCACTTTTACTCTCCCAAGCTCACTCTGCAGAGCCCGTTTCTATCTCATTAAAAAAAAAAATTTATCAAAAGTGTTGGTAAGGGTATAGTTGAAACCCTCCTACATTTCTAGTGGGAAGGTAAAATGTACATCTGCTATGGAAAAACAGATAGTTCCTAAGAAAGTTAAACAGAATTTATCATTTGACCCAGAAGTTCTACTTCCAAAAAAATGAAAAACATGTTTGCAAAAAGACTTGCACATCAATTTTCAGTCTTGGTAAGATCAAGCTCACAACCAAAGAAAAGCTTTCAAAGGTAACATGTAAGTAATCTATAACTACTTTTAAGTGTAGATGATGAAAAGTAATCAGACTGGGAGGAGATGGGCTCTTCAAAAATCTGAGTCTTGACCACAGTCATTAACAATCATTAACATAGGAGACAACTGGACAGAAAATAACATTCCACACACGACTTGCTATGGACATATTAATGGTGACATATTTAACATCCTTTTTAAAAACTGAGCATCAGTACTTTGCATTTACAGTTAAATGTATAGTCTGAAGAGGATCAAAATAATGATGTAAATGGTTTATTTACATCACATTACTAGGATCCCATTGAAAGTTTAAAAAAAATCAGGTATCTTGGGCTGTGAAATCCCAGAGTCAACAAGTTATTATTAGTGGCCAGAACAAAGAGATACACTTAATCTTGATGGTTCTAATCCAATTAAAATCCACAATACTCATATGTATGGTAAATGCTTTCTTAAAAACTAAAGGACTTTACAGTCATTGGTACTAGAAATTTCCAGACTGCAGGGCTGATGACTGAGTGGACACTTCCAAATATCTCCAAACATCCCAAATTTATCATACAGATCAGTTTCTTGTTTTATGCCACCACAGTGAGGCAAAAGTCAGGTTCTATGTTAAACAAAACCTACCTGCTTTCAATGAAACTGCTAGTAAAAAATACCAAATACAGCTGGGCATGGTGGCACATACCTGTAATCCCAGCACTTTTTTTTTTTCTTTTTTCTTTTTTTTCTGATGCCGGGAATCAAACTCATAACCTTTCTCTTGCCAGGCAGGCGCTGTGCCGCTGAGCTAAATCTCCAGCCCAACCCCAGCACTCTTGAGGCTGAGGCAAGAGATTTCCCCAGAGTTGAAGGCCAGCCTGGGCTACCTAGTGAGTTCAAGGCCAGCCTGAATTACAGTACTAGTCTCTTTCTCAAAACAAGCAAAAAAGTAACAGGTATACTTTCATATACTTTCACTGTCTTGGTTTTATGATGGGAATATCTATCTACAGATAGATATTTGTGGAACAGGCATCTGAAATTCATCTATTCTAATCATTCATAACAACAGTCCGTAAAAATAAGTTTTTTGAAAGTCCATAGCACATCCACTTAATTCTCAATGTGTTTTGGAAGTATGATAAAGGTAAGATACTTGATCCTTAATGCCAGGTCACAGATCAGGAATGGGTATTGCCAAATACCAACGCGGTCCTGTGCTCCTAGTTTCTCAGAAAACGACTGCCTAAAATTCGTGGTTGGTTAATAATATTCTCATTAAGACATTTCCCAGTTGAGGGATAGTGAATCGCATAAGGAGCTCATAAAAGGCCCCAAATGCATAAAGACGGCTGAGTACAGAAAGGAAAACAGAAAAGATTTTCTAAATCCGAGGGGGTGGTGTTATTTATGAGGTGTTCCAAGGACAGAATCTGGGTCCCTTTTCTCTTTCTCCAAAATCACCTGCCACTGAGAAGGGGCTTTCGGATCTCTGCAATGCTGGACACATCCAAGTTTTTCAATCTGTAAGATAAGCGAGCCCCGGACCGCGTGAAACCTTCCCGATCCCTCGCACATCCCAAAGGGGAAGCAGCACCCGCACGCTCGGGATCCCCTCCTCCTTACGGGGCAGCCCGACCCCTCCTCCTCCTCACGGGGGGACCCGACCCCCTCCTCCTCCTCCTCACGGGGAGACCCGACCCCCTCCTCCTCCTCCTCACGGGGGGACCCGACCCCCTCCTCCTCCTCCTCACGGGGGGACCCGACCTCCTCCTCGGGGGCGCACCGGACCTCCTTCCCAAAGCAGAGCTCCCCGCGGCCGCTCGCCCTGGACCCAACACCAAGCCCGGCGCCCCCTCGCCCCGCCGCGCCCGACCCCGGCAGGGACCCTCCTCCCCACGGCGGGCCGAGGGCGGGCTCAGGGTGGCGCCGGCTCCCGCGCCAGCCCGCACTGACCGGCTCGGGAAGCCCGGGTCTCGGGTGGGGAGCGCAGTAGCCCCGCCTCGCTCGGTGGGGCCGCGGCCTCTCACGCCTTCTGTTGTTCCGCGTTCTCACGGCAACAGGCTCGGCGCGCACCCGACGCACCGCCTTCGGGCGCGCGCCCGCCCCGGCCACGCCCCCGGTCGTCCGGCCACGCCCACACATCGCTGGACACGCCCCGCCCACACCTTGGAATTGCGGGGCTCCGCAGCACCCCCTAGGGATCCTCCTCAGAGACTGGTGCGATTCTCTTGGACTGGTCTGCAAGTGCTGAGCGGAAGCAGGTATCACTGGTTGGTAAAATGAATGTAAGAATAATTCCACACTACTTTTCAATATCTTGGCAACCGATTCAGGAGTTCTTTAAGGTCATATTTGCAAAACAGAAAATAATCCATTTTATAGTTTGCAGTTACCTGGGCGTGGTGGTGAATGTCTGTAATCCCAGCACCCTGGGAGACTGTGTCAGGTGGATTTTAAACTCCTGCCCACCCTGGGCAATTTAGCAGCTTAGTGAGACCCCACTAAGGGGGGGGGGCTGGGCGTGGTGGCACATGCCTGTAATCCCAGCACTCAGGAGGCTGAGGCAGGAGGATCGTTGCGAGTTTGAGATCAACCTGGGCTACAAAGTGAGCTCAAGGCCAGCCTGAACTGCATAGCAAGACCCTGTCTCAAAAAAAAAAAAAAAAAAAAAAAAAAGAGGGCTGGGGAAGTAGCTCAATGCAAAGGTTTGATTCCGCAGTATCACAATAAATATATAAAGGTTACAATCCAGTGGTGTTTACTATTTAGAGACAAAATGAAAAACTCCCCTTCGCCTTTGATGGAATGAACTGACCAAACGAAAGGTGTACAAATTTATTAACATGCAAAAGAAGTAATCACAGCAGCAAGGGACAGGGTGAGGAAAAGCCACCCTCGCAAGCTCTTCATGGCTGTCTCTTCTTTTATGCTGTCCAAATTTCTAGAAAACCTGAGAGAACTACTACTGGGTCCTGAAAGGCAGTGCTGAGATCCCATGTCTCATGCTAATATGGGCCATCCTACTGGAGTTCTTCAGAGAAGTGCATGTGCAGGACTTTGGGAAATGTTCCCATGTGTTCTGGGATCCTGTAATTAACAGGTCACACCTACTTCCCCAGCCAGCTTTCCCTACCCTAATCTCCTATCTCATTTCCCTCTGAGATGTAAATCCCCATAATTCTTTGTTGGGTGATGAGGGAGTGGAAGTCTCTATTTTCTATAGATTCTTCAAGCAGGAAGGAGCTGTAGACCCTTTGTACTGGGCTTATTTGCTCTCCAACTACTTGGGGATCCTGTGGTTCACTGAGTGGGTGAAGAAAGGAAACCATATTTTAAAAAAAAAAATAAGTACTTGGGATTTATACTTCAGATCAAGAAATTATTTGAGGGGCTGGGAATTTAGCTGAGTGGTACAGTGCCTGCCTGGTAAGTGCAAGGTCCTGAGTTCAATTCCTGGTACTAGAAAAAAAAAAAAACAAGAAAAAAAAAAAGAAATCATTTGAGTAATTTCAAATTATATACAGCTCCTGATGTAAAAAAAAGATGTTTTGTGGTCACAGTTACTTGAAAAAGTAACGGTATTCAAATAACCTGACATGCCTTAGCAATTACAAAACCATGATTTTGACTCATGGCAGTTTATAAGTTAAGCAAATGCGAATGCTAAAAGATGTGAGCAGCTACTCTTCTGTTTCAGTGTTAAGTGTTCTGTTTAAGAATGCTGCAGGGGCTGGGGATTTAGCTCAGCGGCAAAAGCGCTTGCTTGGCAAGCGCAAGGTCGTGAGTTCGGTTCCCGGTACCGGAGAAAAACCAAAAAAAAAAAAAAGAGTGCTGCAAAACTCAGGCAATGACTATTTCTTTAGTTAGCATAATCAGCCCACAGTACAGGATACTGAGTCATAAAGTACAAATCCAGGGAAGATAATGCCTTTACTAAGTTAAAAATTTCACAATTATTCTATTTTAATACAGTAAAATAATATTTCTGTTGTAGTCATATTACTTTAGTGATAAATTTCACTCCAAAAATACCAAATCAAAACCCTGTGGTTTCTAGCAGAGGAAGTTATTTTATACAAATTAATGTCTTTTACAAATATACTATTTCTTCTTTTATTTTTTTTTATTTTTTTTTCCTCTGGTACCGGGAACCGAACTCATTTTTCCGCTGAGCTAAATCCCCAGCCCCCCTATTTCTTCTTTTAAAATGAATGAGTTCCTCATGCACACAGGTCTCGTTTACAGCAGCACAGCAACTGTGTACATTGGAGGTGTCTTTGCTTTGTTTTGGGGTTGAGCCAAAGCCAGGTAGTCCCAACCCCTGAAAAGCTTCAACATTCTACCTTAAGAAGCCAGTAAGTCAGTAACTGACTTATGGTAAGTCAATAATTGACTTACTGTATTGACAGTATTGACTTACTATATTGACAGTATTGACTTACTGGTATTGGTATTTTTTCCAAGTACTTTTTAAAAAATGGAGCTGGGCATGGTGGTACATGCCTGTAACCCCAGCGCTCCGGAGGCTGAGGCAAGAGGATCATTGGAGAACAGCCTGTGGTACAATGTGAGCTCAAGGCCAGCCTGAATTGCTTAGTGAGACCCTGTCTCTTATTTTTAAAAAGTTACATTTCACATTGTTATGGTTGATACATTGTGTCAACTTGAGGAGTCTAGAGGCTTGGCTAAGAAACTCAGCAGTTCTATATCCTGAGCCTGTGCAAGAGGAGGGCACCAAGATGATGTGGGCTTTGGCAAATAGCCGATATGCAATATAAGGAGGGAAAAGAGGCTTGTTCCCCTCCTGTTTTGCTCTTGCTACTTTTGCTGTCTTGTGCTGCCTTAAAATGTTGCCCCGGTACCGTGCCTCCCTGGCCTTGGAGCCAGCTGATTATGGACTGAAATCTCCACAAACTGTGAGCTAAATAAACCTTAATTTTGGGCATTGGGTATTTTATCTCATTCCTTAATTTTGGGCATTGGGTATTTTGTCTCAGTGGTGAGAGAAGAGAAACTGAGACACACATAAATAACGAGACCCTCACAATTAGTCTTTTCAAGTCAGACTGACATCAGGTGATCCCTGTGACATAGAACCCCTGTATCTATATGTTTTGATGAAAATCACAGAGCCTGATTACAGCTTATCAAAAAATTCTACCTAAAATATATATTTTTAAAATAGCAAATAAATGTACTGTCAGATTGGAGAAATCTGGCGGACCTGGTGCTGTGTACCCACTGTCTTCATCATTTCTCTACAAATCCTGCCGCTGCCACCATTCTGCTGCCTCTTGCTGAAGCTGCCAACTCTTCAGTATCAGTATTTAATTTATATATCACCCAATCCATTGCCTCTCGGCCTTTATTAGCATTTGAAGATACCGTGCTTGCCCTCAGGCCTTCAAGGTAACTGCTGCGGCTGACTCCTTTCACTGTGATTGTGGCTTCCTGAGTCAAAATAGTCTTTCCTGGCTTCTAAGGATGTGGTTTGTATATATATAAGTCTCTCATCCACTGAAACCATATTTGTAAGTGAAATATTAGTCTATTTCAGTCGCATTGTTTTCTCTACAGGATCAACTGTAGAATGTTCTTGTACATATGTTTTGGTTCTTACTGCAGCAATAATAGACTTCGCAATGGAGGGCAGTCCCCACTCTGTACTGAGGCTGTGCTATGCAGCTTTCCAGAGGTATCTGCTTGTCTGTCCGGCACATCAACTCCAACCACACTCGGGTTCATAGGGTTTGGGTATTTCGAAGCTGTTGTAACAGTTTCCCAGGGGTGGCCAAATATGTGTTCCGAAGTCCAGATCTTCATGGTGCCAGCAGCCTGCTTGATGTTCAGGTGGTGCCTAGGGATAATGGGACACAGAGGTACATTGGCCCTGCCCCACACAATGGCCAGAAGAAGGAAAACCTGTCAAAAAATGAGAAGAGAGTTAATGACCATTGACCTTCACTATTAGCTCAAACATGAGGAGCAGGTCAGATTTCCACACTTCCTGTACCAGCACTGGAGTCTTCTTTTTTGAAGAGAAATCTCAATTCTTCCAGAGACTCACAGGAATAGCTCTCTCTTTTTAAAGGATGATCTCAGATATTGAACTTTTTGGAGGGATGTCTGAACCTTTTCTCTGGAGACTTTATATCTCTTCTGAACTAGACTATTGCAAGGGGACTGGCAAGGCTTCAGAAGAAAACTATGAGAGTCTAGAGGCCTTTAAGTGCCCTTCCTTGATTGGATACTGCTTTTGGTTAGGAAATCAGCTGGAATCTTTTAGTCTAATAACTACTGGCATAGCAGAATTTGCCCTACCAGGAATTCCATTCTACCATACAGCAGGATCCACTTGTTGTCTAATTTGGTCAGGAAGACCTGGTGCTGTCCCAACAAGTAAAATTTATTCTGGCCTTACCCACAATTTGAGAATTGCCCCCAACTGTACCAGTAAATCTCTTCCTAGCATGGGGGTAGTACACTTTGACAAAATCAGAAACTCATGGTTAAACATTTGGCCTCCAAAGTGACACTCAGGTAGCACATGCTTGTAATCCCAGCACTCAGGAGGCTGAGGCAGGAGGATCATTGAGAGTTGGAGACCAGCCTGGCCTACAAAGTGAGCTCAAGACCAGCCTGAACTGCATAGTGAGACCCTGTCTCAAAAAGGAAAAAAAAAAAAACAAAAAACAACAACAAAAAAAACAAAACCAAAGTGACACTCAGCACCACATCTGTCATGGGCAAGCACAGGATGTCATCAAGGAGATAAGTTAGGACAAAGAATTTTGCAGGTCCCAGGACATCTGATGACACCCAAAAATTTACACTGGACACTTCACAGACTTTGCCCACTGTTATGGTTTTTTTTTTTTTTTTTTTTTTTCCCCATTACTGGAAATTGAACTCACGACCTTGCGCTTGCCAGGCAGGCACTGTGCTGC